CTGAGCTCAAACTCGAGGTTGGAGCCGCGGCCCTCAAGCTCCTCGCTGTTGGCCCGCGCCCATTCGATGGCGGGGACGAGGTTCCTGTTCTTGAGCTCGTGCAGGATCTCGTACATGTTTGCGAACTTGTCTTGGAGCTCTTGGGACTGCAGCGAGTGTATGTCGGTATCAAGGGCTGGGTGGTTCGGGGACGCAGGGGGAGGTCGCTCGTGGGCTTCTCGGAGGAAGGTCGAGGCCACACTGAACTGGCCCTCCCGGAGCATGTGCATGGCGACAGCGCGGTTGATGAGGGAGGAATATGGAGCCATCGCGTCGTAATCCGTCGATAGGGGTCGCTGAGGGAAGGACTAGAGGGGGGAGCTGGTGTTAGTCGGACGAGGGGGGTTTCATCCGTGTCTTTGGTGCTCGACAGGCGCTCACCTTGTCGAGGGCCTTGCCAAAGGCCTTTTGTGCTTTAGAGACCTCCTTCAAGTCACTGTTGATTGCCTCGAAGCCTGCGTTGACTGGGTTTTGAAGCTTGGTCATGGTCAAGCTCGCGCGGTGCGGATCGGACGCTTAACCCCACGGATGAGCACACGACCACCAGGAAATGACGGCGGGGCGAGTGACATACCATTTGCAATCTGCTCTCTTGCCTGCACGAGCAAGTCGAGGAGCTTGTCGGCGTCACTGACGGCAGAGTTGAGTGTCGCCTTACGGAAACGAGAGAGCTCAGCCTGGAGCGTCATCATGGGGTTGTGTTCCGCCATGGTGGTGGCGGAGTTGGTGGTGCGGGTTGTTGGTATGTCTAACAAGTTTAGTTAATGTATGCTGCTGCTGTTGCGTGTAGCTCGAATATCGGGAGACTATGACGGGCAGAACATTGCTACAAGTCGTACTGGAAAATCCGAATCGTCAACGAGGCAAACAAAGAAAGAAAAGGAAAAGAAAAAAAAAAGGCAAAGTTCACTATCGGGATGTGTGAGTTCGCGTAGGTTCACTGGTCCCTGCTGCGCTTGGTAGGTAGGTAGGCAGTTGAAGGTTATGGTTGGAGTCGGCACACGTCTAGACGATTACCGATAGCCACTGATAGTGCGGTAGCGGAAAGCTTCCTCGGCTGCGGGGCCACTGACAAAACACCAGATGTGGCCGACCGCAGACCGCTCAGGTGGCACGCTGTCAGTCAGGCAACTAACCGAACTGCCGGCGAAACAGCGGCCCGGGAAACGGTGAGCGTTTAGGGACGAGGGGGCCTTGGAGGAACAGGGGGGACAGAGCAGGTTTTAGTGCCTGCTTGGGGCAGATCGAGGCCATTGCGGAGATGGGGGGCCACCGCTTGCCTTTGTGCTACCCCTTCCAGCGAGATGGCGGTACAGCTGCCGGCCCAATCAACTAAGCCACGACAACGAAGGGACATTGCGTCACATGCCCGGCCACCCAGGGACAGCGAGAGAGGACGAGACGGGAAACCCATCGAGAGACAACGACAGCGGCTTAACCCCAGCGATACCCGTGCGAGTCACATGTAGGACAGGACAACGCCAATTTCTTTGATTTACTTCGACTTCAGCACATTGAATAGCGACCGGGCCCTAGGAAACAACAACCCACCGCAGGCAGGCCAGTCCGACGACTATGCCTTCGTCTTCCTGCAGATAGTCGCTGCGTTGTTGTAGGCGCTCTCAAACGTGTCACCGCCCACCGCCCACACCGCGCGCTTCCGCAAATGGAGATGGCATTCCGTTTCCCCTTTCCGACCAACGACCCGCGCATGCACCGCGAGGAGGAGCTGACTCTGGCGAGAGTTGCGTCCCAGCGTGGGGGCAACCGGCCGTCTCCTCTGGACACCCCCTTACCGCCCGAGCCGCAAAAGGAGGCCTCTACAGAGCCCGCGGTGCCGTCTCCATCGTCGGCCATGAAGAGGAAATGGGTTTTTGCCGACCCAGTGGCCTTCAGGCAAGTGCTTTGGGTATTGCACCCATACGGTTCATTACGCTGACCACGTTTCCTTCAAACAGATACCTAGAAAGCGATCCGTCAGTCACTGTCCTCGAGCGGAGGGGGGTTTTGCAAGGGTACGAGCTATACTTGGTCGAACAATGGGCGTGTTCACGAAAGTCGCCGACGCTAGTTATCGTTACATATACGGGTGACCCGAAACACTCGGTCGTCGTCGGGGTGCTGGCCGTCCCAGCAGATGAGAGCATCTGGTCCGACCGCCTGCGATTCTACTTCAAGGCCATCCATCAGTACCATGCACGGCCGAAGGAGACACCGTTGGGCGATGTGATGGTTACGAACCTCAGCAGCTTTCCGTCAGCTCTGACAGTCATACCCGTCCCTGAGGGCGATATCCGCACCCATCGCCAGGCCTTTATCGTCAATGAGAACCTCAAGCGGTTAGGATGCTCTGGGCGATCTGGCATGAATCTTTCGGACCCTACTCCCGCGACTCAGGCCAAATTTTATCAGCTGTTCAAGACAAGCGAAAAGGTTCCCTTTTCGCAGTCCGCGGTGGAACTAGTCAAACTATGCCAAGTATCCCTATTCATGTTTGGAAAACTAGACATGGAGTACATCGATGGCCTGTTATGCGACAAGACGGAAGAGTCTATCGGGAACTGGTGGACAGAAATTGGGGCCGAATGCTACAACGTCGAACCTACAGATGGTATCTTGGGGCCGACGACTGTGGCAGCGTTGCTGGGATTGCTGATGGGTGCCCGCAACCGGCTGCATTACTACGGTGCACCGGTTTCAAAAGATGTTTTCGACATCGAGAGCACGAAAAGGGGAATCGGCTACTTCCAGAAAGCATACAAGCTTGAGCGGACAAGGCGACTGGATCGCCAGACGATTCTCAAACTCCATGCCGTTACGGCCAAAGCAGCTGCTGGCGAAGGATGGGGCGTGCAAAAGGCTGTCAAGTCCACCGTGGCCGAAATTGGCGGTAAAAGGGGCGAGCTTGTCATCGGCATGGTCGGCGGAAAGGACAAGGCCGGCATAGCTGACATCGAGACCATCGACATTGATAAGTTCATTGCCCTGGCGTACGGTGAGCGCGCAAAGTGGCTCTGGTACGGGAAGCCCAGAAGGGCCGCGCCAGAGCTCCAGGAGAAGCCAACGGACGTAGCACAGCCACTATTCGGGAAAGATGAGGTTCCTCCACCGTCAGGCAAACGAACACAATCGTTACCGCTGGAAGAGGAACTTCAGCGACAGAAGGAGGAATCGCCTGGTGTTTATTCGACCCCGGCGCCTGCTTCAGCCGTGAGTGTGGTCGATAACCCGGTAGAGAAGGATGCACTTAGGAAAACAGTCTTCAAATCCGTCGCCGGCAGAGTCAGTGACGCCAAATCTGGCCTCGGCCGCATCAAGGACGTCGTAGGTACCGGCCTGAGAGGCCATGCGAGCCGTCCTAGTAGAGACGACTTTGGCGAGAATGGATACAGTAACAGCGCGCCCGGTATCTCAAACTTGGTACAGTCTTCTGCGACTCTATCCCCGGTCATGGCTGGTAGGGCCTTCACGTGGAAGAACAAGCCGGAGGAATACCTCACTGCCTTTAAGAAGGAGGCAGAGGTCGCGCAGGAGCTGCGGGAGTCGTCACAAGAACTCGAAAATATGCCGGTAGTGTCCAAGCCAACCCGCGATGCATTGGAACCCAGCTCGGCGCATATGGAGGGCGGATTTACAACGCCTCCCAACGAGTCGGTGAAAGAAGGGCTTGATCGGGTTCAGACGTCGGTTGCTGGGTCTGTGGTTGACGAAGCTGATCTACACGGCCCCTTCGAAGCAGAAAGGACAGGCAACACTGCTTTGAGCTTTCTTCAGCGTCGACACAGCATCGCCGTCTCAAGGCTTTCGTACAAGCACCCTATGAACGAGGCTCGCTGGCCCCGGCGGCTGTCCTTCGGAGATGCAGAAGAGGCGGTCTTGCGATGGGAGGAAATCACTGAGCTATACGACGACAAGCATTTTTCCACAGCCGATGCCTTGCAACAGCAGGCTAGTCTGGCTGAGTTTGCCCGCAGTCTGTACGACTCTATCGCGACCATCACGCGCGAGGTCAACCCGTGGGTCGAGTCCAAGATCAAGGCTGTGGACTCTCTGGACGAGCACTACAGCCGTGAGCAGGAAGGCCTGCAGACTGTCTACTACCAGCTCAGCGAGGCGTACCACCGAGTCAAGCAGAGCTCGACGGAGCTCATCGCCGAGGAGCGGGCGCACATCACTGAGGCGATTAAGGAGGTTGAAGTGCTTGTGGCGCGGCTCGAGTACGAGATCAACGGGCTTGTGAGCAAGGTGGACGACGTCGAAGACGGAGTCCGGCTTTTCGAAAGGCAGGTCGAAGACGTGGAGAAGCGCGCCGAGGAGCTCAAAAGGACGCTCGAGACGGAGAGCTGGGCGCACTGGTTCGTCAGGACGCTGACAGGAATCGGTACGGGGCCCAACATCACAAGGGGGACGTGAAAGACTGGAGGAAGGAAGGCCGGTGGCCTTCAAGCTGCATAGCGTGGTTCATCTTTATTGTCCGCATCGGGAAAATACCCAGCAACGAGTGCTCCTTTGTGCATCTTCGTTCCGGAAAGGGCTACATGATTTCATTCATCCAACGCACAAGGGTTTACATACTTGCCGACCGAGGCCCATAGTTGCTTCTAGGGAAATATATGCATAATGTTTTAACCAGCCATACAAGTGTTGGGCACTTCTATTGCATATCGCCACCAGAACAGGAAACAGCAGTGCACTCTACTTTTGATCAGAGTCTTGTTGACAACTATGACCCAGGACTCGGACAGGGAGAGGGAGTGCCTTCTTTCGGGACAGCCTAAGGTCAGGGAAGCAGTAAGGATCAGGTTCTCTGGGACCGGGAACATTATATTCGGTGTAGATATCTGAGCCCAAGTAAGTGATAGGGGCTTCAATTCCATGAGCAAGAACGGCCCAAACAAAACGGCCCCCTCTCGAACCACCACCTTGTATTCCAAGTTTCGATTTTCTCCATCGCATGACCGTCACAAGCCCCCTTTATAGTAGCCACTCATCCTGGACCAATCCCAAACCTCCAACCCAACGCCGCCGACGACGAGCTTCCCATCCCCGATGACCTCGATGTCACCGGCATCCGCAACGCCGCTGTACTCGTCAGCCACGAGCGTGACCTCTTCTACGCCTTCGCGCCACCTTAGCCTCCACGCCTTGACCCTCTGATCGTTACTCGCCGTCGCGAATACCACCTCACCGTCGGCCCCTTTGGCCCCTAGAACTGTAAGCCCGTTGATGGCCGCCGCGTGGGCCTTCCTGACGCCCGCCCTGGCCACGGGCGCAAAGCCGCCGCCGTCTGCCGACAAGCCGAGCGTCGTGATGCCCAGAGCATTGTCATCGCCTCCGGTGAGGACCACGGCCCGCCCCGCAGACGGAGCGTGTATGTCGAGCGCCTTGATGCTGCTCTGGTGGACCCGCACCGTGTTCTGGAGAACGTACTCGGCACCCGCTGACCGCCAGACGGCGATGCACCCGTCCGTCGCAGCGGTGACGACGTCGAACGCCCCTTCCCGGACCTGGAGGTGCCGCACCTGCGTCAGACACGCCCCGGTATACTGCCCCTGGAACATCAGCTCGAAGCCAGTGTCGGGCGTGTACCTATACGTCTTGACAAACGAGTTGGAGAACGCCATCGTGATGGCGGCGGCCCCGTCCTCCAGCCTTTCAACGTCGAAGCTCGTGATCCTGAGGTCCCCGTCTGCGCTCCGGTCCGCGAACACAGCCTCACGCATCAGGCCCAGACCGGCCACACTGCCGAGGTCGCTCGCCCGCCAGACCATGAACTCCTCGTTGCCGCTGCAGCTAAAGAGCAGCTCCTCGCCGAGCCACTTAAGGGACTGTAGCCCCGCAGTGTGCAGCTTGACTACCTTGACGCAGCGCAGTTCCCGTCTCAAGGGATTCGACTCCGGGACAGCGGCGTACTCCCAGATGCGAATGGCCGTGTCCTCGGCACCCGACGCGATGTACCGACGCCCGGAGTACGCAACGGCGCGGACTTCGCGACCGTGCGAGCCACGCTTGAGTGTGCGGTGGTGAGCGACGGCGGCCGACGCGGGCGGCTGGACGTAGACGCCCAACGTGGCGGCCTTGTTGTAGACGAAGCGCAGCCCGACGTCACCGTTGCCGTCTTGCGGGATGTAGGCGAAAGCGCGGTGCGCGCCGCCGCAGTTGACACGGAGAAGCTCCTCGTGGCGCGTCTCGTTCCAGACGATGAAGTGCTTGCTGCGGAAGCCGCAGAGGACGAGGTCCGTCCCAGCGACCCAGGCATCTTCGATGTTCGGGACCGCGGCGGGGGCGGTCTCTTGACGGAGACATAGTGGGGACGGGAAGGCGGAGGGGGGAGTTCGTAGATGCGGTAGTTTCCGTCGCGGCTTGTTGTGATGATGTGAGGTGCTGTAGAAGAAGGGGACGGGACGGGGAGGGGGTTGATGGAGGTTATGGCGTCGTTGGTGCGTCTGTCTGGCGCCGCGAGCGTGTCGAGTTGGCCGTCGGTGCGGCGGAAGACGGACATGTACCCATGGCGAGAGCCGAGGATTAGGAGGTCGTTCATCTGGCAGGCGGCTGTGACAACGAACCTGCTATCCAGCTCGGGAACCGAGACCATGGAAGTGACCGTGTAGGTCTCCAGGTCCAGCGTCAGGATCTGCGTGGCCTCCTCGCCTCCCAGCATGGTAACGAGGAAATCCAGCTTCGGCGTCGTCCCCGAAGCGCCGCCCAAGCAGAAGATGTCGGCAATCTTACCTGGCACCGTGCCGATCTGCCGGAGGGCCGAGTCTCTGTAGAGGAAAACCTTCTTGCTCGCCGTGCCCAGCAGCGCCGTACCTGGCGCAGGACTCTTGACGCTGGTGCAGGTCCTCAGCGCCTGCAATGTATCCGCATCGGTCCCAACTTCAGACCACGTCAGCTCCGCCCCGAACGTGCCGATCAGGAGACGGCCGGTGTTGTTCGTGGCGAGCAGTTCTTCCCTCGAAATGAACGTGAACCTGTGTAACGCCTCCTTCACCTCAGACGGGGTCGCAAAGTCGGGGTCCCGTGCCGGCAGCTTGCCGATCACGTCCCGCATCACCAAAGTGCGCAGCTCGCTCGGCAAGTCCCTCACCTGGGACACCCCACCACGAACCGCGCGCGAGCGGTCCGAGAGAAGGTTGATCTTGCTATCGGCGCCGCCTGTGGCGACCACCACCTCGCCGCCGGCCGCCTGCGTGAGCGCCGTGGCCCAGATGTGCTTGCCGTCGTGGCGGGCGTACGTCTCCTTGTGCGTGATCGTAGCGGCGACCTGGACGTCATCCGCGGCCGCAGGGGCAAGGGACTTCCGCCGCCATTGCCCGACGTCGATCTCTAGGGACCAGGTTTGCAACGTCGAGTCCTCGCCAAAGGAGTATATCGTCGTGGCGGAGTGGCTGGCTAGCTCGTCCAGTGTCTGCGGAAACCTGACGTGCCAGATGCGCGAGATGTGGCCCATGACCATGGCCAGGGGCGCGTTTGACGCCACCTGCGTCGCAGCGAGATCCGCGGCAGCACCTCCAAACCCCGTCTCTCGAACTTCGCTGAAGGCGCCGTACTGCAGCCGCCGGGCCTCGGGCCTCTCGGTGATGTCCCAGACTCGTATCGTCCTGTCGTCGCTGCAACTGGCCAAAAGCCTCGCCTTGCCCCCCTCGCCGATATCGATCTCGGGGGAAATGTCCACGCCAAAGATGGAGCCCTCATGGCCAGTGAATACGAAAAAGACCTCGCTCCACGGCTTCTTTTCGGCCTCCGCCGCATCGCCAGAGAAGTGGCACTTCCAGACGACAATCTCACCAAAGACGGTGCCCCCGGCCACTAGGACGGAGGTCTTTGATATCCACGTGAGGCTGGCCGAGTACAGGATCGGCCGCGAGGGCGAGATGATGCAACCGAACTCAAGAGTTCTGTCATCGTCTCTTATGGAAAACTCGAGGACCTCATTGTGCGCCGTGACTAGCACGCCACGGCCCGGATCCTCGGGCGAGATGGCGCCGTCGTAGATCCAGTCCGGCGCTCTGGCCTCCACGACTTCCAGCGGCACCGAAGGCTCATCAGCCTTTCCATCGGCAAGGATGAGATCCTCGACAACGCTGGCGGGTATCACAGTCACCGCTTGGTTTCCCCAGAGGAGCACTTGCCGCCTTTGCTGGCCGTCCTCTTCACCGGCGCGGACGTGAATGCCATGGATGGACTGGGCACGGAAGATCTTGAGCTGACCACGCAGTCGACCCTCGACGTCATAGATCTTGAGCTCCGAGTCTTCACCGGCGAGGAGATACGTCTCACGGTCCCTAGCGTTGAAGAAGCTGAGACCGGTGACCGGGGTGAAGTAGTGGTCCCGTCGTAGGGGCCGGGCTACGGATGGCTGTGTTCGCTGATCAGTCACCTAGCTCATTTCTTGACCTCATTCGTAGGGAAACGGGGGAAAACGGGGTAAAAAAAAAAAAAAAAAAAAAAAAAGAGAATAGCAAAACGCCGTGTGTGTTTGTGGTTTAGGAATAGCCTCAATTACTAACTGCGGAGTCTGTTTGGTTCATGAGGAAGAGCGGGCAGCCGGCAAATCAGGCCTGCCCAAGTCAGGTAATATCCGACTTTTAGAGTCTCACTACCCTGGCCTCGGACGGCGTCAACGGTAGGAGAGTGCGTTTCCGTGTGAAGTGGTTGCCTAGAGACCCAGGATCATGATGCTAGTTTGCGGCTGAGCTGAGCTGAACTGTGGCAGAAAAGGGCATCCTCCGTTGGCAAAAGTATGTATGCAGTTGGAGGTGGTGTATTATGTGGTGGATCGAATCATCCGCCTCCTTCTGCCGCCTAGTGGGGTTTTTCCTTCTCTCTCTCCCCCCCCTCCCCCTCAAGTGACTTTGTGAAAAATTTCGAGGCAATCCCTCGACAGTGCTAATAACCGGAAGGACATACGTTGTCGTGTAAGGTAATCCTGTCCAGCACTTAAACGCATGTCAGATTCATCCGACTCATGACAAGGCTGTCACATGAAACGCTCAGTTTTTGTGACTGGCAAAGAGATTTGTTGGTGAAACTAGTTATGTTTTTTGATTGCATTAAGCACGTCTGAGGTCTATAAACAGTCAGGCCTGGATGGGTATCTCCAATCTCCAGAAATCCGAATCCACCAGCAAGTCCGTAGCAATCGTCACCCCCCACTGACGATCACCTCCATTGCCAAAATAAATGTTCATATCCATCTCTGTGCGTGTCGTTCGTTCTCATGAGTGAGCCGTTACCCCAACGCCAAAAATGCCGTAATGAGTAATGTGTATTGATAAAAAGAAAGTTGCCGTGCCCATAAGAGCAGCTTCGTCTGTCGAGTCGCCATATTACCAGGTCCTAAGATTTAAGACCGATGAGAGTAGGGCTCGTAGGCCATGTCACCACGGGCGCCGTTGGCGTAGCGGGGAGCACCGTACTGAGCGGCTTGCTGCTGTTTGTAGTAACCGTTGTCCTCGTGGATGGGCTGATAGCTGGCGGTCTGGGGCAGGAGCTTCTCGCCGTCGCTGTTGCGCTTGGATTTCTTGGTGTGGTTGGGGGCACAGCAGCAGATGGTAAACATCCAGAAGAAGCCGGCGCCGAGTGCCATGGCGGCAGAGACCCAGACGAGGGCGAGGTAGCTGTTGTTGAAGCCGGCAGAGACGCCGTAGAACCTGGCGGTGCCCTCAACGGCGCCGACAACGATTACGGACATGGCGGTGGACAGGGCGGCGGAAGCGCAGACAGCGAGTGAAGCGACCGAGGCGACAAGGAAGGTGATGCAGGACATGGCGCGGGTGCAGTTGGCGAAGATGCCAAAGACGATCTCGAGACCCAGAGCGATGAATGCGATGATATAGGCGACCTGAGTCCACTTGGTGGCAGTCTTAAAGGCGGAAAGAGCAGTCTTCACCTCCTTGGGCAGCTCAATCTTACGGCCAGCAGCGGTACCGATGGCCTCGAGGGTAGAAGTGTTGAGGTAGTCGGAAGCCCAGTCGAACTTGGGTTTGGTGCAGGTCTTGCCGCCATCGGTGCCGGTGGTGCAGTAGCCCCAAAGAGTGATGTCGTAGAGGTTGTTCAGGCCGAGGTCGGCGGCGGTGATGTTGCTCGTCTGCGTACCGTCGGCGGCAGCCTTGGAAACGGCATCGTCGGCGTCGGCGGTAAGCAGAGCGCGGTTGTGGTGGGTACCGAAGCTGACAGCGCTGGCGTCTCTCGATACTATACTAGATACCGAGGCCGGGCTGACTTCCAAGTCTGTGAGGTTGACACGGAACATGTACAGGTCCTTGTTGGAGACGCCACCGAGGGCGGCGATCATGAGGAAGATGAGAGAGCCGACGGTGAGGATGAATGGCAGAGCCACGCAGATAACCCGGCCGACACCCATTTTTGCCTCGATGGAATATTCCTGCTAAGACGCGAGAGGTTGTGATGCTTATTTAAGAGATAGGCTGATTCGGGTAAGTGGGTCGACCTTCTTCAACAACGAATGTGTCTAGGAAGCAGACGAGGGCCGGCAGATGGAGCAAAAGAGGGGAGAGATAGGTAGATAGCGAGGGAGGAAAGGGCGGTGATAAAGAGCCCTTAATAGTATTGGATTTGTTAGGGAGGTAAACGGATGCGAGTGATAAGTGTAAGAGGCACAAGGCAGGAGGCTGACACAGGATGGACGGACGAGTGCTGATGTTTATAAAACAGACGAGAACGAGGAGGATGTAAGGAGCCATTACGTACCTACTTCGGCTGTAAGGCACGACGACAGTACCGGTACGTGCAAGAAGGCGCAGGGCAAGAGCAGGTTAGGATTGGGACAGGAAACACGACAGGGGCAGGGACGTGGCCGTGGCGCAGTACCGAGTACCTACATGTGAGCGCAGCAAAGCAACCAACCGTCCTTTTTTTTTTCTTCTTCTTCTTTTGGGTGGAGATGGGACGGGTGGATGCGCAGCTTTGCGCCGTTGGCTGTACTCCGTACACCAAATACACTACCGGAATACGCAGGTGGGTGACTAAGTGTGAGTGAGAGAGTGAGAGACACGGAGTGAGCTCAGCCTACGGTAAACAGGTTCCATGATCCGGGTACCTTCTCACCACCCTGCTTCTACGGATACTGCCTTTGCCAAGCACATCTCTTCTTGACTATTGGCTGGCTGGGCGCCGCCGAAGTCGACATTACATTACGTTGCTGACGGGCTGCGACCCGACCTGCCTCCACGCAGCTAGCGGCCACGACTCAGCCCCGGCCCTTCTGGGAGCACCCATGATCCCTCGACCGAGCAACGGGGTCGAAAGGCCGAGGGAGCCTGAAGAGCGGAGCGAACCACGCGCAAAGAGAAAGAGCGTTTGTGATGCCTTCTCACCTACCGTGCGGAAACACTGTATCGGACGCGGCCCCGAATCAGCATTCACTTCTGCTCTTGATGTAGCCTCTCTTCAGTATAAACTCTAACGATGACGGCGGCTGGTGACAGCTTGGAAATTCCCAAAGAGGAGGGAGAAGATGGGGGACACATACAGTACCTGCCCACTCACCTTCACCTACTACTACACAGGCAAGTGAAGGTACCTCTAGTCTCTTGTGGTGCAGGACTGACGACGCCAGCGGGAGGTACAGTCTGGCTGTGCTACCCGCGCACGGGTACCTTCTGACACAGCAGTCAAACCTTGCCCGTCTAGCTTAGAGTCCGGGATTGCGACTGTTCGAGTCATCGTCCAGATGCGGCACTTCGCTCATTGTGCAGTTTGAAGCCGTCATGTCTGGACTGCTGTGGCCTGCGGGACGAAAGAACAACCCGATCCTGTCATCTCATCAGATAAGCCGCCGCAGATTGATTAGGATGCAAGCCGGGCCCAGAATACACCCTCTAGCCTGCTGCTGCTGCTGCTGCTGCTTCCTCTTCTTCTTCATCACGTCGTCGTACGCGGCCTGCTCCCTAGGCCTCTCATTCGCCCTTGGACGACTTGTGTCTGTCGGACTTCCAGGATTTCGCGAACATCAGACGGAACCGGCACACACATAGTAACTGTCATGATAGCTGTCACACTGTGTACAGGTACATGTGTGTAAGAGAGAGAGAGAGATACCAATGCCGATCTCCAGGGGAAGAAAAAAAAAACCCCCCATTCGGGAACGAGTGGCTCTCCACTGCGACCATCAGCAAGATTCGCTGTCAATCACTATCCATGAGCAGACGATCGGTGGCCTGTTGCTGAGTCGACAACAGAGTGAACCTCAAAACAACACCCACCAAACCTGGCTCGTAGGGTCCCATCCTGCAAGATCTGCCTTGATCGGTGCCAGTCTCGCAGTCTGACACGTCCAAGCTCCAAGTCGGGCCCCTTACGGCTACGCAGTCAGTTGAAAAGCGGCCCGGGGTTCGTCATCCTGCGGGGGCTCAGCTCTTGTGTTTCTCTCCCACACCGACTGAGCATCATCCTCGTCGGCCATCAGCGCGGGAGAGAGAGAGGTATGAGCATAACAGACCGCGTGAGAAATAGAGAGCAACGGAACACACACGATTCTCAAGCGCAGCAGCACTCTTAAGCCCGGATTAATCCAAAGCCCACGCTCCCAGACCATGTCCTCACCTCAGTTCCCATGTCTGTCGAATACTGTCGCTAATCGGTCAGAGCCAGGTAAGGTGAGAGGTGGCACCCAGTTATCGGGTGCGCGACGTGGTATGGTGGCGGAGGTAGGTGTAATGTTTGGTTAACTACCTTTTTTTCGGGGCTCGCCAGATCCCCCCCACTGAGGGCCCGCTCCCCGCCACTCTAAAAGGCAAACCGCATCTGTCTGTACACTATACGGAGTACATGCTGTACAACACTTTGCCCAATTCTCACTAGCCAGAAAGCCAACGAGGCGGAACTCACGCATTCATCTCTAAAATTAGAAGCCATTCGTTTTTTTCGCACTCGCCGAACCTAGCACCGCCGCCGGGATACCACCACTCTCTCCGGTCGTCGGCGCCGAAGATGGACCTGCAATCTCGAACATGATGCCATTGGTCGACGTGCCTGTTCGACGCGTTGACGAAGTCATCACCGCCACCATCGTCAAGCTGAAAAACCTATGACTGCCGGGGCCTGGTCCGCTAGTTCCCGTTCTGCCTGTTCCTCGGCGGAGCATTTCGGGAGAAACAACCTAGCAGCTTATCTGGCCATCGCTATGCTGAGGCAGCGGCAGTTAACTCCGCCGTTTCTTTCAGAAAGGGTCTTGGACGTCGAAGGAGACCCTTCACCCCCTCCTCAATGTTGACAATCCAGCAAACCTTTATCTAACAAGGGTCCAATGACTTGGCAACCTCCCCTCCATGTTCCGAGCTTGACGCCATGTTGATAGCTCCCGCACATGACGGCTCGGCCGTGCAACCCCATTACGACACTGTGACCCCAGCTCGATTTTGGCTTGTGGGCGCGCGCGTGGAGAGACGACTGGACCCTCAGAGCTTCGGGATGCGGTTGGTTTGGTCACAATATCCGACTCCGACTGCTTGTGAAAAGTTCTCATGGGAGACTCTTCAAAGCCTCGCATGACAAGGCTAGTCTGCGCCCGCGCTATTTACATTCCATATGCTGCGGGTCCCCTTTCTTACTGAACCTCTCGGCGTTTTGTTTCTTCCTTTATCTGGTGGAACTCGGACGGGCCGTCATTTCACGAGATGCCGGTCTTGGCTGCAACACTGCACGTCGAGGAACGAACAGCCCCCCCAGATGCCGGGAAAAGCCACGCCATCAAACCTCAGGTTGTTCCGTCCCACTCATTTTATGCCGCGATTGCAAGAGCCTCGACTGATCAAAAAAGGTCAAATCTAGTCGAGGCCTGTTTCAGCGACAATAAGTAGCATCTGTTCTCTTTTTTTTTTTTTTTTTTTTTTTTTTTTGTCTCCTTGATTCCGTCGATGACGGGGCAGAGGAGGCCTGCAATAGCGTCCCCCCGTGGGCATGATGGCCACCCAACCTTTGTTGAACGGCTTCCGCTTCCACGGCAGAGCTGGTCCGAGTTCGTTCCGCGGTGGGGCTCGATCAATGTCTCCGAAGCAGCGGTATTACCTGTACTCGGCGGCAACATTGCAAAACGGCTGTTCGTGGCAAGCTGCGCCCTGGACGGCATCATATTTGCGATACGCATATTGCCACAAACTTGCAGCTACATCGACATTCTGCACAGCGGTCCGACATGTCATACAGAGCACATTCCTGGCACTTTAGCTTCGTGATCTTGGCAACTTTCTAAGCAAGCCTCCGCCATTGGAGTATTTTCTCTCCCTCTCTCTCTCTCTCTCTCTCTCTCTCTCTCTCTCTCTCTCCCCCTTTTTGAATTTTTGAATTTTATTTAACCCTGTATATACATATTGAGGCCCTCAACTGTTGCGCAGCAGGCAGCTGCAGCACGTGCTCGTGCCGATGCGGGAACAGCGCAGCGAAGGAATGTAAGCGGGATTGGAACGTGCAGCTATTGGTGTCAGGATCCAGATATCTGAGTTGGCAAGCGATGCTTGTTACTGGAGTCATGCCGGTGCAGAAGCAGTCGGCGCTGCCAAGACTCCTTGTGACTGTGACCGTGGCCGTGTAGGGTGGTTAATGCACTCTCGCACCATTGGACCGGAGTTGGATGGAGATGGGAGTTTGGAGACTTGAAGGACGGAGAAGGCAATGGATGCGTAAGGACACAACGACGGGTCCAAGTGGCGATTGGCAGCGCCCATCCACCAGGCATGTATGCGGGCTTGCGGATCGCTTGGACGATGTCAGCGGGGAAGTCAGACCCAATTGTCACCGGTTCCGCGGCGCTCGGCGACAGCTCTGCGAGGATGGATGATGGATGATGGCAGTGGAATGCTTTCGGAACCGTTAGGGTGCGAAGGAAGCGTGCCAGCATCGGCGGGGGGGGGGGGGGGGGGGGGGGGGATCATTCTCGACTATTCATCCCCCTCAGGACTTTCCACCGTGGCCCAAGGCGTGGCCTTGTGCTTCCACCTCTTCCCACACTTCCCCTCCGTCCCCATTCCTCCCCTCCCCGCCCGGCTCCCACACCCAAACTTGAGGTGCATACGACGACCGGGAAGTACCTAGGAAGCCCCGCGGGTGTTTGTGATGCCGCCACCAGCAGTTGACCACGCGTTGACGGAACGGTCGTGTGCGCTTGCATCTCAGACACCGACGGTTCGCGTTAGTAGCAAACACCCTTGCGCTACGAAAAGACGGTCGACAGCTACTACGCAGTAGATGCCAGAGTATCGTCACAGGGCAGGAGCCTCGAGCTCATTTATTCCTGATCCAGTACAGGCGGGAATGTGGAGGAAAGGATGAGGGGAGGACAGACGGCGAGAGGAACATGTGCCTCTGCGCAAACAAACGGTAAAATGGTACCTACCCACGACTACCTACACTACCGTAGGTGCGTCTCTCCACGGGATGCAACATCTGGCTGCAAGCGGTGCAGCGGTGCGGCGGCGGAGAAGGAGGAGGAGGAGGAGGGATGAGGCCGGGGTCTATCGACGGGGCGGAGTCGTCTCACACCCAGCCCGCGACCCGATTGGCACCCGGTCTGTCATTTTACCATGCATTGCATCAGTCACCGTCGAGGTGCATGCGGAGAGCTTTCAACATTATACAATAGCATATGGAAGGGTCCAATACTGGACATTTGAGCTTCACTTGGCACGGACCAAGCGAAGCGGCGAGCAGGCAGTGGATTAGGATACGATGTGACAGAAAGGAGGAGCCTCCCTGGGTAGGAGATAGTGTGTGCACATATCATATGCGACGTCGACACAGCACATGGCGTGACTGCATCGTCTTTGTAACCTCGAGCACTCGATGATGGCGAGCATTGACTCTGTTGCCTTGGGTAGTTTCCCCTTTGTCGGGTCACGATACTGAGCTGGTGCAATCTTGAGGGCCATCCCATCCCATCTTTCAGACTTCGTTCCTGACTGACGACCAAACGGATTTACATCCCGCCAAGCTGCTGCACCCGCGCCCATCTCTTGTGCTCGTCTCAATCTTGTATTCCCGCCTTGCGCCGGAATTCTCTTCGTCCAACATCGACACAGGGGCCGAGCACCAGCCATCCATCCAAGCGCCGTTTGCTTGCTCTTTTGCATCGGCTGCTTATCACTTTATCAAGAAGGATATCAGGCTCCTCTCTCTCTCTACCGTATCGACCTCTCGCTCAGCGAGGGTGGCCGGAGATAAGCACCCAAGCGGCAGTTGTTGGTGCTTGATCTCTGCCCAACCCAATATAATCCGTCAACCCATCCACTCATCCACCCTGCCCAACTTATTGCAACGCGAGGGACAGGGCGAGGCGAGGCTCCTTTAACGATCCAGAGCAACCCCCCGGGAGAGAAGCAGCGCAGCACAGACAATAGAAGGAGAGTGGCCTACCAAGGGAAAAAACATCCTTGGTTGGGTCAGCCCAGCCCACTGGGCCAGTAAACCCGACGAGTTTCAGGCGCCATTTCGACAGGGAAGAAAGACGGTGACAAGGAAAATAGCGAGACAGCATCTGCTTGCTACCTGCTCCTCGAGACCATTCACCCCCTCTTCTCCCCTCCCAAGAGCTGCTCTAACTCCATCTTGGGGTCCTTGGCGAAAGCAACCCAGCACCCGGCCGCCAAACCAAGACCTTGGGGCAGCCGGGCGCCGCCACTGGGGATTGGCTTTGGTTGTGTTAAATCCAGAGTACTCCGTACCAGGACGGGACTCGACTTCCTCTTTGCAGAATCCGATCGACTAAACTTTCTCACCACCACCACCACCACCACCACCACTACCTTGCCTCTCGTGCTTCTCCTCTTTCTCTCCCCCCCCTTCTCTCTCTCACTCATACACACACACACACACACATTAACACTCTCACTTCCTCTCTTCCTCCTCACAAACACATCAACTACCATCGCCCCATACGCCGCCGTGTGCCACCTCTGAACGCCTTGGCCAACCTTGGCCAACAACAAAAGACACTCAAAAAGTCTCGCCATCTCTCCTACTGACTGGCTATTCTTTGCCTGCTGCATCGCTTGCTGTCTACATCCGTCCTGCCCCCCCCCCCCCCCCCACATTCCATCAATTGAACGAACTTGTGTCTTTCCTTTCACCGAAAGGGCCGTAAGTCACGGGCGTCTCTGAGTCCATCATCTATCGAGGTACGGAGCCCAAACCTAATATCCGCCGGGCTTGTCCCATGCGTGTCGCCTTAGCACCCTGCCGCCGTCCTGCATTCATTCGTCCCCCCTCACCCTTCTGACCGTAACGGCAATTCGGACCTTTCGCCTTATCTTCCGCCTTCGCAATCCGACCGAAGCTGACCGTAATTTTTTCTTTCCCTCCTATGCAGTGCGCCGCTTCGAACGAACGCTTCAGTAACTTCATTCCATCCGTGCCCGCCGACGACTAACCTCCCCCGTTTTCTCTCCTTCTCGCCCAGCCCCAGCGCACCCGCCGCCTGCGAGCCACGTATACGTCACTCGCCCGCTTTCTTTGCTCACTGAACGACTCCGACTCCCCTCTAGCCACCGATCAAAGGCAATCGCCTTCACACGCCCAAAACGGACAACTCAAGCGGACACCGCTCTCCCTCCCGCATCCGCTTCCTGTCCATTCTCGACCGCCTCTTCCATCCTCCCTAGGGCCTGCACTGCAACGCAGCACCGCATATTACCATTTCGAGCCCCTGCCAGACCCAGGCTGCTGCGGCGAGACGTCTAGGCTAGCCCACACGTCAGACGAAAGACGAGGCCAGCCCACGCGTACAACCCGACCGGCGGAACAAACACCCGCCACCGTTCGTTTTCCTTTGCATCCACACGAGATACACACACCATGGGAAACCAGCCATCCAAAGACGGCGGCCATGCATCTAGCAAGGGCGCCGGCGTTGACGGAACTGCCGAGACTCTCAAGTCATACCCTTCCTTTGGCAGATCCGACACCAAGGACTCGTCGCGCTCGTTCAAAGCCCTTCGATCCAAGATCCCCGGTTCCAGCAGGACAGACAGCCCGAGGAACTCCATCGTCACCTCCCCCACGGACGAAAAGTCCGACGCTGCTTCTGTCAAGTCAGGCAAGAGCGCAAAGTCCGGTACACCCCGAGGTCGCAACGATTCCATCACGTCGCCCATCTCGCCCTCGGGCGATGTCGAATCCCCGCTCGACGACTCTCAGCCGCCGCCATCTCCCACGCAGTCGAGCACCATCAAGAATGGAGTTCATGATGTGAGCGCCGCCCAGGCCTCGGGCGAGGTCGACCACGTCTCCGACCAGCCACCGTGTGCTGGAGGCAGCTTGAACACCCACATGCAGCAGCCAGGCAAGTCAATTCTGGCCACAAAGGGCGGTGACGGCACTGCTACTCCCGTTGCGAAGACGGCCTCGACAAACTCTGGCGACAAGCAGGAGGGCGGCGTTACCATGAGCGAAATCAAGGACATCGACCTCGACGACTTCATCAAGCGGCTTCTCGATGCGGGCTACGCCGGCAAGGTTACCAAGAGCGTATGCCTGAAGAACGCCGAGATTGTGGCCATCTGCCAACGAGCCCGCGAGGTCTTTCTCTCGCAGCCCGCCCTCCTGGAACTCGATGCTCCGGTCAAGATTGTCGGTGACGTCCATGGCCAATACACGGACATCCTTCGCATGTTCGAAATGTGCGGCTTCCCGCCCTCGTCCAACTACCTCTGCCTGGGCGACTACGTTGACCGCGGCAAGCAGTCGCTTGAGACCATCCTCCTCCTGCTCTGCTACAAGCTCAAGTTTCCCGAGAACTTTTTCTTGCTGAGAGGAAACCATGAGTGTGCCAACGTCACCAGGGTCTACGGATTCTATGACGAGTGCAAGCGCCGCTGCAACGTCAAAATCTGGAAGACGTTCATTGACTGCTTCAACACGCTGCCCATCGCCGCCATTGTTGCAGGGAAGATATTTTGCGTCCACGGCGGTCTATCCCCCGCTCTGGGTCACATGGACGATATTCGCAACATTGCTCGTCCCACCGACGTCCCCGACTACGGCTTGCTCAACGACCTCTTGTGGTCCGATCCGGCCGATATGGAACAAGACTGGGAAGCCAACGAAAGAGGCGTGAGCTACTGCTTCGGCAAGAGAGTGATACTGGATTTCCTTGCGACGCACGATTTCGACTTGATTTGTCGCGCACACATGGTGGTTGAGGACGGGTACGAATTCTTCAATGATAGGGTTCTTGTGACAGTATTCAGTGCCCCCAACGTAAGTCTCGGTCTGTCGGTGCGCCGTGAAATTTGCTAACAAGATACGACAGTACTGCGGCGAGTTCGACAATTGGGGCGCCGTCATGTCCGTCTCCAACGAGCTGCTCTGCAGCTTCGAGCTGCTTAAGCCGCTAGACTCGAGCGCGCTGAAGAGCCACATCAAGAAAGGCAGGAACAAGAGGCAGAGCATGCTCAACAGTCCGGTGAGTCGATTCGAGATGCGTGACGCGGAAAAGAAAGCAGACTGACAAACATGACAGCCTGCACACGTCGAGCCGCGAAGCGTTTGATGAGGTGGCCGTGCTGGGGAGACGAGGGACAGCAGCAGACAAATCTCCATTCACTGATGGATCATTACTACGAATTACAACTAGTCGGGCAACCGGGCAGAACATTTTCAGACCAGAGCTCTTCAAGGCGACCGATGCGGCTTAGGCGTCATGACGAATACCCTCGGCAGGTGGAACTCCCCGAAGGACATGAGCGTCAACTCGAGTCCGGTGATTGCGGACGGAAGATGCCTGCAAAAGGCGTAATAGCCGAGTCGAGCGATGGCCAGGTTGGGATACTTGGCAGGGTCAAACTCCAGCAGGTGCCGTTCGTTAACGTTTCAGGTCTAGACACGGGCTTGGACAAGAGCTGGAGACAGCTGGGAAACAAGCGAGTTTATTCAAGGAAGTGCCAGGGTAAGACTTGGGTTGTTATCGAGTCTGGCTGGCGATGAAGGGGTCGGCTCTTGATACCAGCCTGTCTTGGGCAGACACAACAAGGAGCTAGCGATACTGCGTACATCTAGTTCGTTTACGAACGTGTATCGATGAAAGCATCGGCTAGCGGGGTTTATCATCTTTTACACAGAGAGATAGTCATGTAATGGTACTGGGACTTGGTTTATTTATTTATTTTGCAAATTTGCCTTCCAACTCGGTGACAATGGGAATACCCGTCCCTACGAGAGAGTCTTTGCGCATATGAACAGCCGGTGCAATCACGAAGGGCCGTCGCATTGGTTTCGCACCGCCTGCCTGCCTACCCACCCGCCGCGCGTGTAAACACGCCTATCTACTTTTGCGCGGGCGAGTTGAGGCGAGGCAGTTGCCCCTCCATGAGGCAGCCCCACTTTCCGCCTCAGCTGAGCCTGTGACATCAACTCTTTTTTTTCCCCCTTTCCACCACGACTTGACAGAGACTCGGTGTGATTAGACTTGAATCATTTCGATATCTTTTAATTGCTGTGGGGGAAGCAGCAAACCAACCCGGGAGATTCAGTTCAAATCATCGAACTGAGATTGTTGATTCTTCCTCGGGTGCATGCCTCCTTCCCACGCCAAAATTGCCCCGCAGCGTAAAGTGAGATTTTCCTCTCTTCCCTCTCCCTCTCGTATCCTTTCACCAGTTGGCTCGGCCTTTTCTCTCCTTAAACCCACCCACACTTTTCTTTCCCAATCACCTTGCAGCTGGTTATTTATTCTACCTCCCCGGTATCCCATTCACCAGTGAGACCACCCACGCTCACATCTCTGTCAGGTACAGGGCAGATCCGAGCAAGATGGAGAACCAGGCCCCTCATATCGATGAGTCTGAGCAACGCGCAGCGAAGCGCCTTAAGGTGGACGATTCTGCGCAGCCGTCCGAAGTGTCCGCCGCGGAGGAACAGCGTGCCGTAGTTGATGAGGCTTACAAGCACGTGGAGTCTGTTCCTGCCAATGGCAACGCCGGTGAGAAGGTCGACGTCCAGATGAGCGAGGCCCCTGCGGCCGACGAGAAGAAACCGGCCAACGGTGGCTCTGCCGCTGTACAGACGAGTGACGCGACCGCAGAGCCTAAAAAGGACGACAGAGATGTGAGGCGTGGCCAGGCTCCTATCAAGGCCGAGTAAGATACATACCAAGACCTTTGAAGAGGTCTACTTTACTGACAGCACTTGTAGGTTCCTCGTTTATAGGGAAGGCCAGGCGAAGGAGAAAGAAGAGGTCATTGATGACGATGCGGCAGAGGGTCGCGATCAAGGCGACGGCAGAGATTCCCGGGATAGCCGTGACAAGCGCGACAAGAAGAAGCGTGAGAAGGGCCAGAACAAGGAGCGCAGCTTTGGCCACTTTGACGATGCCCTCCGCCTCTGCAACAGTCGTGCCTACACTCCCGAGTTCTCTCCTCGCGATTGCAAGTTCGGTGACAGGTGCAACATGCTTCATGACCTGCGCAAGTACCTTAAGGAGGGTCGTCGCGAAGACCTCGAAACGTTCGACGGCAAGTGCCCCGTCTTCGAGCAACTGGGTGTCTGTCCCTCCGGCTGGAAGTGCCGTCTCGTCAAGAGCCACATGAAGGAGATCGATCACGAGGACGGCCGCAAGGAGCTGGTTCTCATTGAGGAGCCCAAGGAGGCGAAGACGAGCGGCGAGGCCCCCACTGACGCCGGACGCGAGGATCTCAGGCCGGGTGTCTACAATAACACGGAGAACCAGCTCAAGATCGATCTCAGCCGCAAGCGTGTCGACTTCACTGAAACGGACAAGTACATCACCTGGATGAACAAGGAAGCGAGACTGGGCGACGAGTTCCACCAGCGCCGTAAGGATCATGTCATTAGCAATCAGGAGGACCTGCGCGCGCAATTCGTCGACCCGCCCTTGAAGCCGTCCGAGAAGCGTAAGCTTTACTTTGGCAAGGAGACGCCAGCCCTCGCGCCGCTGACCACCCAGGGCAACCTGCCCTTCCGCCGACTCTGCGTCAGCCTCGGCGCCCAGCTCACCTACTCGGAGATGGCGCTAGGTATGCCCCTGGTGCAGGGCGTAAAAAATGACTGGGCGCTGATGAAGGCCCACGAGAGCGAGATCAGCCCACCCAAAGTCGATCAGACCAGCAGCAATATCGTCCAGGGCTACGACAACTCCCGCGACCTCAAGTTCGGTGCGCAGATCTCGGGCAGCCAGGCCTGGCACTGCGTCAAGGCGGCTGACCTCCTCAACCGCTACGTCCCGCACCTGCGTCTTATCGACCTCAACTGCGGCTGCCCCATCGACATGGTCTACAAGGCCGGAGGCGGCTCCGCGCTGCTCGAAGCCCACGGCAAGCTTGAGCGCATGGTCCGCGGCATGAACACTGTCTCAGGCGAGATCCCCATCACGGTCAAGCTCCGCACGGGCGTCCGGCAGAACCGCCCTACGGCGACCACCATCCTTGGCAAGCTTGCCTTCGGCTCCCGCGAGAACCGCGACCGTCTCGGCGCCCCCGGCTGCGCCGCCATCACCCTCCACGGCCGTAGCAGGGAGCAGCGGTATACGAAGAAGGCCGACTGGGGCTACATCGCCGAGTGTGCCGCCATGATCAAGTCGTACAACGAGGAGAAGGACAAGATCACCGACACGGCGCGTGAGGCCGATGAGTCCACCCTCCCCAATGCAAAGGACGGCCGCATGTTCTTCCTCGGAAACGGCGACTGTTACTCGCACGTCGAGTACTACGAGCACATTGAGAAAGCAAAAGTCGACACCGTCATGATCGGCCGCGGCGCTCTCGTCAAGCCCTGGCTTTTCGAGGAGATCGAGAAGGGCCAATACCTCGACAAGTCGGCGACGGAGCGCCTCGCCTACGTTGAGAAGTTCTGCCGCTTCGGCATGGAAGCCTGGGGCACCGATGAGCTCGGCCTCGGCTTCACGCGTCGTTTTTTGCTAGAGTGGCTCAGCTTTGCGCACCGCTACGTGCCCATCGGCCTGCTCGAGTACCTCCCGCCCAACCTCAACGACCGGCCCCCGGCGTATCACGGCCGCAACGACCTCGAGACCCTGCTTGCCAGCAAGAACTACCGCGACTGGATCAAGATCAGGTATGCGAACCCTCGCCGACTGCTTTTGAACAAGGGGGAAGAAGTTTGCTAACTCTTGCTAGTGAGATGTATCTGGGCCCGGCCCACCCCAACTTCACCTTCCAGCCCAAGCATAAGTCCCACTCGTACGAGGCCGAGGGCTAGGTGATACGTCGACTCAGTGTTTTCGTCAACGGAAAGGCCTCGTACATTGCTTCTCGGCTATGGGAGATGCATGTTTCCGACGATCAACAAGAAGAAATATGATCACTGCCCCAGACTGGAGGCCATGGAGACGGAAATGGACATTTGACATCTTGGGCTGCTTTTTGTTTTCTCTCCCTTCTTTTTTCTTCTTTGCTCTTTTACGCGGGATGCCGCGTATGGATGCCACCTATCTGGTCCTTTTGAGGCGACAGAGGGAGCTCAAGCCCGTATGTAGAATATCATTCAAATGCAGACAAGCCGGAAGCTGCTGCACAAAAGGCATGCATGCGCCACGATGTTAGGGGAAAAGGGCAACCGCTCTTGGTACGGCGTTTGGGATGCTGAATTGCTAGCTCCCTCCCGTGCCGTCCGATGGCAAGGTGAACAACCTGGTGGCCGTGCATGATGCCCTCATTCCCCACGTCCCATACATACATCGATCAATCACAGGAGTACTGCGCAGGTTAGGGTCTAGTCGCATGCTTGCTGCTTGTGCCGCTCTCGCTTACGAACAATACCAAGTTGGAAGAGCCGTCAATAGACGGTGTCGTACCCACGAGCCCGACAAGGCGCGCGCTACGACGGAGATAAAATCCGCATTACGCCCCGGACCCCGGGTACGGTACATCTCCCGGCCGGCCATGCCTCCTAGCAGTGCGTGGACTTTTGGGAATGTGCGTAGGAGCAAGGCTCGCTCTGTTGGGAGTCGGAGGTGTAAATGTCGAGACGCCGGAAGGTCTTTTCTCGCCGTGCGGAACTTTCCTGTAAGTCTGTTTGTAGACAGCATTACTTTGGCGTGATCAAACGTGAGGAATGATGTGGGTCATAGGCAGTAATTTGCGTCAAAAAGCGAGACCTTGATTATAGCTATAACTCAACGCCGTCCAGGCTTCCCACGCATGCATCTCATTTTAGACGGATCCTTGATCCGGAGCATGTTCTATAAGCTCACTTTCTCCTTTTTTCACCGTACCTCCACGCGCGGCGGTTTGCTGTGCTAGGATTAAAACAAAAGTCGAGACGTTCGACACGTATCTTCTTTTCCTTTCCTTTACTGCGCCTTCTTGTTGCCTTGGGGCTGTGTCTTGGCGTACTGGTCCGAAAGCTCATCGTAGCTCTTGTGCAGGCCGGCGCTCTGTTTCTTGAGCGTCTCGATATCGCGGTTCTTCTGTTCGAGCTCCTTGCGGAGCTTGGCAATCTCACCGGGCTCGCCGGCGACGGCAAGCTTCTCGCTCTCCTTGGTGTTGCCCTTGGTGCCCTCGTAGCTACGCACCTTATCCTCAAGACGCATCACCTCGAGGATCATGACGTAGGTACGGTTCAGGATCAGCGAGAGGAAGAGGGTGAAGCCGCAGAGGTACATGTTGCGCTGGGAGTAGAACTTGCGGGCCTGCACCTCGAGGCGTTCGTGGCCCATAACAGCGGCGCCGCTACAGAGACAACCATCGTTAGTATCGTATGCTTTGATCGTCCTCGAGGATCTGTTGTTGCGGGAGGGATTCATGGGAGCGTCACGCGAGTGAAAGAAACGTACCCGCTGTTCTGCTTCTCAGTAGCAAGCGCGAGCTCGACCTGGACGCGGTAGACACGGTTGACACTATCGATGAAGAGGATAAGGATGAAGACGAATGTGATCTTCATCCAATACTGGACTTTTGCAACGACTGGACTTTCAGAGATGAAGCTGCGAGTATGAAATCAACGTTAGCGGTCGAATCACCGGGGAGGAGGCAGGGCCAGGAGCCGAAGAAAAGGTTGAAACTTACGTAAACAGCTTGCGCTTGACAGTGAAGGGAAGAGGCACGATCAGGAGCATGAACAGCCCCATCTCTGCCATGAGCAGAACAAACACCTAACGCGGGAAGAAGAGTCAGTATCGACTGTCGTCCATGAGAACATGCTTCCCTCTCCAAACTCGTCTGGAAGGAAAGATAAGAATGGAGCGCGGGCGAGAGACGTACGAGAGTGTAGTAGAGAGTCATCTTGAACGGTGAGGGGAAAGCTTTGGCTCCCGGAACGGCCTGTCAAAAAGCTAGGTGGGTCGTGTGCTCTCCTTTGAAGGCAGGGAGAGAAGCAGTAGTGATGGTGGATACACTCGGAAGCCCAAACTGACTTGTTTCTTTGCGGTGAGTGTCGGAATAGCTTGGTGGGAGCTGTGTTTTTCGGGGGGGTTTGCTGTGGTGTATGGAAGTGGTGTAGACAAAGCCGGGCGGAGCTGGCCTTATGTAGGATGTGCGTAAGAGGTGACGATGGGGTAAGGTAATTCCTTCTGGCAGAGGTGGCAGGTACGCACAGCGAGGTACCCTCTCTTTCTCTGCGGAGGCAGGGTTACGTAGCTCGAGAGGGACCTTGGCGAGAGGACCAGGGCTGGCTGGGAGCAGCACAGCTGGTGAAAATGGGACGTAAGTCAACAACGTCATCGGTGGCTCGTGCGGCTTCAATGGGGAGGGCAGGGTGCTGCGGCTTCGGGCTTCAGCTTACTGTGGCTTCGCGTCCTAAAAGGTAGGTATTCGGATGCGGCTGGGTTTCACGGCTGGCACCAGATGTAGGAAGGACTGCCACGCGCCTGGCTCTTCCTGAGACCCCAGACAAGCCCGAAATTCACCACTGGCCCGCCATCCATCTGACGTCAATCGCGGGAATGACCCAATGCAGAAAGATTAGGATGCGGATTGCGGATATTCATGTGAATCAGTCCAGGCTCTGCTCTAAGCCACAGTCAAGTCGCAACAGCACACTCGTCGCCATCGAGTGCCCGCTTCTTGCCGCACGCCTCTCGCCCATCACGCATCGCAAAATCTTGCTCAGGACTTGCCGGGTGATAAGGATCGTCATCAATAAACAGCTAACTCTCTTGACCTAATACGTGCGACCTGCCTTCGTGGCTTCACTTTGGGTATTCGTGGCAAATTGAAACCAAAGCAACCAAGCGGCCACATAACCGCTTCTCATGCCACGACTTATTCGTAAACCTAAACGCCCAGCTTTTGAGTCCAAAAAGAAACAGAGGACCTCCTCAAAACATGTCGAGATGGAAAAGAAACCCCCAAAAAGAGTGCCGGATCGTACAAATCTTACAAAGAAAACCTATAGCACCACCGTATCGTTCTGCCATCGAGGTTGCCCCGCTGACCGCAGGTTCGTTTCTTGTTTAGTTATAAAATACGCTCTTCTGGAAGCTCTCTGGTGACACATCGCCAATCTTCGAGTTGACTTCCGGTGCCTTCTCCGGAACGGCACTGGTCAGCGAGTTGGTTCGACTGCTGTCGCTAGGGGCAGCCTTGATAGCGGCCAGAGGCTGGCCAGGTCGCTTGATGACCTCGAGGTACGTCGATGGGAGATAGCCCTGACGGCCGTCACGGGCGCGACACCTCCACCACTCGCTAGGATTGCCCATAGGATCGCTCTTGGAAAGGACCGCGACGAGGTCACCCTTGCGCACGGCCATGTCAACGTCCTTTACGGCATTGCCGGGCTGAGGGGTGTAGTCGTAGAGAAGACGGCAGTAGTCGAGCTTGGAGGGGTCTAGAGGTTGTTGCTCGCCAGCCATTGCCATGCGACGCCTTTCCTCTTCCTCTGCCGAGGCAGCCATGGTGTTGATCATTTTGCGCATGAGGTACGGAAGACCGAACGCGGCAAGAAGGAAGAAGAAGAGCGGCTTACGGGAGGCCTTAGGAGGTCCCAGAGGAGCGCCGTCGGGACCGATGGGCTGACGGCCCTCGAACTTGGCAAAGGCTGCCGGTGTGAGCGCTGTCGCGTCGGCCGGGGGTGGACGGCCGGTGATCTTGGCGATGAGTGTGCGGATCCAGCGCATCAACGTAAAGATGCCGAGGATCGAGCCCAGAGTATCCCTCAGGTTGCTGAACTGCTCGGCTACCGATACCATAGCTGAAGTGATGTTAGCCCACGTCACATACCGGTTGAAGGACGGGAGATATACCGAAGAAGCTCGAGTGTGTGGCCATGTATGTACTTTCCAACATCTGAGCAAAGCCTCCGAAGGCACCGACGATACCCTCGAGCATCTGGAACGTCGCTTGGGTGCTGTTGTTGAATCGGTTCGTCAAACTATTCGGGTCGTTGGGCATTCCACCCATCCCCATACCTCCATAGCCTCCCATACCACCGTACATACCCCCGCCGTACATGCCGCCGCCCATGCCGCCGTAGCCGCCATACATGCCTCCGCCGTATCCGCCGTAGGAGCCCATCCTAGAGTACGGACTGCTGTAGGGTGAGGAGTAGGCGCCACCGTAGGTTCCGTAAGGGCCGTTCGTCGCACCGATACCGCTACTGTAGGCAGCGGCGTTCTGGTTGACGGCAGCGTTGAGGGAAGCCGGTCGTTCGGGGACCGCGGGCGGGGTACTACCGGAGGAGGCAAGGGAGGTTGCCGGTGTCGGGGTCGCAAATGAGGCGGTAGTCGGGGCCGCTGCTGGAGTTGTTGTTAGCAAATCTCTGTTTGCGGCGTCATGGACATTCGTTTGGTGTTCAACGCACTTGAGGCAGCTGTTGTTGTAGCACCGGCCCTTTCCCAGGGTTTTGGAGGGGAAGCCATATTTACTTTTCCCGTGAGGAAGAAGTTTCCTTGGATACTGAGTCGGTTCGGCGTTATCTCGCAATCCCACCTATCGGTAAAGGTGGTGGCGAATTCCCTCGGCCGCGTGTTTTCGGTCGGTGTGCACGCCAGGCTCCGGAAAAGCGACGAAGGATGGCTTCAACCGAGCCAGGCTCCCAGAGTGAAAGCAAGCAATCGAGTTCGATCAGTCGCGATATCGGACGATAAGACAACGGCGCTGAATGATGCGTCGAAGAAGAAGAAGAAGAAGAAGAAGAGGGGGTGGAATTCGAGTCTAGGGAAGAGACGAGTCGCCGGGATTGCAAAGGCAGATTGGGCTCGCGCTTTGGGGAGGAGTCGGTGACTACCTATACTGTCTGTACATGTAGTCACAATGCAGGCTTGGGTGGCGGGCAAGTGACCTGGGGGCTCGTGCTTAGCGTTTGTGTGGTAGAACTTACGTACACTAAAGAAAACATGCGGTCGGGGTCGAGGCGGGTCCCCTCTAGAATTGCTTTGCCTCGGTTCGTTTTCTCCTGGCCCACCACTGCACTGCCATTTTTTGGGCCTCGGTATCTTTACGCACCGGCTTACAACCGTGGGAGATTGCCTTTTATTATATTCTGGCGTGGAAACACCCTCGTTGTCAACTATAAGTGACATTTCTGGCCTCCTCCTACGTTTATCTCAATCGCATTTTCGCATTTGCCAACGTGTCGTGGCTGTCAAGCTGCAGGCCTGCGGCAATTTCAATGACTTCAGGGATCACAGAAGCTCAGGTTCGCGAGTCAGCGGCTTAGGTATTGAATCAACAATGGGCTTCAAGAGTTCAACGAGCAATGGAACATCAGTTCTTCAAGCTCGACGCATTTTATCAGCCACTGCCCTCAGAAACTAGCCACCCGCCCAAGTAACTCACTGTAGCCCGGCGAAGACCTTGGAGTTCTTCATATGCTCCTCCAAAGTCGTCAGCTTGTCCTCCACAATCGCATGCGACTCGTCCAATTTCTCGCCGCCGTAGTACCCAAACTCATTGAGCAGCCTCATGTTCTGCAGCATCTCCTCCGCAACAAAGTCGGGCATGCCCTGGCTCTTGAGCGCGCCACGGAAGGCATCGTGCGAGGCCTCGTTGTACCGCGCCGTCTTGCCCACCTCTGGGTACACCTTCTTGAATACGTCAACAGCCTCGCCAGCCGTCGTGTACGCTGTTGCCGCCAGAACCCGCTTGCCGAGCACCTTTTCGCGGTTCAGTACGATACCCTTAACGAACTTGCCCGTGTCAGCGGCTGCGTCGAAGAACGGAATCGGCGAGCTGGCCGGGATAGGGAGGGTGAGGGCCCAGGCGTTGTCCGGAGGCGTCTGGCGGAGCATGCCGCCGGGGAGGTTGGACATGTAGAAACCGGGAAGGAAGAAGGTTGATGGGAGGGAGGTTGTGCGGATGTACTCCTCGACGGCGGCCTTGCTGTCAAAGTGATAGACGTCGGGGAGAACGCCGTTAGACACTGTTTTTGTGACATGTCAGTCGCTTGTCTCGCATCGTGAACATGGCTTTCTCAGGGAAGAGGGGAGTGACTTACACTTGGTGATGTCGAGAAGCGAGCTAAAGATGAAGTGGTCGACGCCAGCCTCCTACTACAAGTCAGTTTGCGTTCTCCGCAGGAACAGCGACCAATCTACGCACCAGAGCAGCGTCGGCAATGTTCTTACCCTGTTGGACCTCGAGCTCCTTATCAAGCTTGTCCCAGTAGTTGGTCACGGCGAATACGGCTGAGGCGCCCTTTACTGCCGCGGCGAGCGAAGACTTGTCACCGAGATCGGCCTTTCGAGCGAAGATTCTTAGCACGGGGATCTCGCCAGCTCCTGGAGCATCCGTGAACTTGACTTACAGCGACAATCTCGACGCCCTTGGCTGCTAGAGCCTTGGACGAGTCCTTGCTGGCATCACGAGTGACGCCGCGGACTTGCCAGTCCTTGCTGAGCTTGGGGTCGCTAAGGAAAATGGAAACGACGCTGCCACCCTGGGCACCGGTGGCACCGAACACAGTGATGAGCTTCTTGGACATTTTGAAGGTCGATGATTGTGCTTTTTGGTATTCAAGCCGAACTTGCACTGCGCTGCTACATTAGATACAGCCTTGGTAAAGATACACCATGTGATTGGGATAGATATGGGCCCACATACCTTGAACAGCTTGTCTCAATCGAGTGCTGAATATGTATACGGTCGATGTAAGTAACAGTGAAATGTTGCTTGTTTAATGAGGTTCAAAGTTCAGCATCGAGGTGAGACAGCGGCCATCGCGCCTTTATACATCGAGAGTGTCCATGAGGCTGGTCTTCTCCCTCACCCCTCCAGGACGTACCGACGCACCTCGATATGCATTACCAGATTGGGGTGCGCCACTGCGCCAAAACCCCTCCCAGCTTGCAGCTCAGTCTCACGCTGTCGTGCTCGTAAGCTTGGCTGCCCCCCCCCCCCCCCCCCCCCGCGCGCAATTGCTTCAATTGAATTTGTACTTTGGACATACATGTATAGCTGTATGTACATCTACATAGGTAGTCATTGTCCGTCCCTATTACCTACTTACCTACCTACCTAGGTATCTAGAGTACGTCGTGTCCTCTTCAAGCGCCTAGATCTAGGTACTTCACAGGAGATGTTCTGCCATTCAGTCAATACAGCTGCTCATTCCATCAGTCCAGACTATAGAGAATCTTTACATATACAGCTACAATATGGCGTCATGTTCGTCTACACGTACAAACCGATTACATGCCTCACTCGTAAGGAAGATCCACGAGCTTTGGAAGTGGAGTGGAGAAGCTACCTATCACGTATGCTCCTTTCTTTGTCATGGGCCCTTCCCCGCCAAGATGCAAGCTTAGCAAGCCTACTATAACCCCGGCTTCCGACCCCACAAAGAGTCCACGGGCTTTCCAATCTCCAGAGTGAACGCGAAAGCGCGAGACGTCAAATCTGTCCCGGATGTCGTACTAACGCGATTGGGAATGTTCACAGAAGCAGACACCGCTTCAATGTGAATCTACCTCATATCAAGACTCTCGCGGGTCGGACTTAAGTGGACCTACCGCGCGGAATCCTCGAGGAGGAGGGGGGGGTGCTCACTCTGTCTTACCTGAGCATAACTGAAAAGCATTTGTAAGGGTGCGGACGAATGGCAGCTCGGATTTCCGTCCATGGCCGCAGGCGCGAGCGCCACGTTTACTAAGACCACCACCATTTAGATAGGTCATTGGCAAGGCATGTCAAGGCAACATCTTTGACGATGATTCCGAGGCTACCTGGACAGTTCTCTCGAATTCGACGAAATTTCTTCACTCTGCCCAGTCATTAAGAACCTTTGGTGAATCTGCAGAACCTTAGTATTATCATGACCGGTTATGACCCACCCAGCTCTCGCGGTTAGGACAAGCTGGAAAGACGCCAAAGGGCTTGTGTGACGTCGCAAGTCACACCCAATCATACTACTTATGTTGTCTTCACTCAAGCGAGTTACGAAAATGGGAATAGAATTCTGGTCGATCCATCACGTGATTCAGACATTGCACAGTACTGCGACCAGATTTTTCAGAAATTTCGCATCAATTGACTGCTTCTCTCTACTTAAGAGAAGAAAACTCCGTCCACCTCTGGACCCCTGTATAAAAAAAAATCATCATCAAAAAGGCGCACTTTTCTGGGGCCGGGTATCTTCTGTCTTCGACGCCTGAGAGACATGTTCATTTTGCAAGACCCCGAACTACCCGGGGCGAGGCGTGACTGGCATCCTCGTGTATCAAAAGAGAAAAACGAATCGAAAAAGTCGTGATCGCGTCACCAAATGCCGTGGATACAATGCCAGAAGCTCGCTTGACTCGGCCAAGAAAATGGTAAATGGAGAATTTGCGAATGCCTTCCCATCACAGATGTGCAATCATGGTGCATCCCAAATCCCAAAATCGTCCTTTTGCGAAATGCTTAGGAAGAAAGAGCAAATAAGCTGACCCTGTTGGTTTTTCCACCGGTGCTGGCGGCCGAGAAAGAATCGGCTGACAGCCAGCTGTCAACTTGTGAGCGAGAGAGGCCAGTGGAGAAGTCGACGTCGTCGCTGAGAATCTTGACAGAGACTTGGCCTGAGCCACCATCGAGGACGACGGCTACCTTGATGGGCTTGCCAGTAGGACGGTCAAAGTAGTCGGAGGAACCTCCGGGAACGTTGGAGTGGAAGGTGGACTTGCACTTGGTGTCGCCAGGGGCAAGGACCTCAAGGATGTCGAGCTCACCGCAGTCAGGCCAGCAGGAGCACTTGTTGTACTGGGCAGTGCGAGGGATGCGAGCGTTGAGGAACCAGAACGCGGACATGTCTGCGTTGAAACCCGATGTACCGTCAAGGGGCATGTTGAGCTCGAAGAGCCAAACAGAGTCCTCACCCTTGAAGCCGTCTACAGAATGTTAGTTCAGTAAATGTATAGGTGTTTATCAAGGATATGGCTTACGGTAAGCAACGGAACCAGGACGTGAGTAGCCGCAGCCTCCGTCGTCGCAAGACCTGTCACTGGCAATAAGGAACTCTTGGTTGGACTTGAGGGTGACCGGGTCCAGGACCTGAGGGGAGGCGGCACCACCGGTAGCATCCGAGTTCAGGTACGACAGAGAGTTGCCAAAGACGCTGTTTCCAGTCAGAATTCGCCCGAGAATTTGAGCTTGGTACTTACTTGTCGAACTTGCCGGAGCCCTGGCCACCATAGTTGCCGAGAAAGACGATGCCATCAGCAACAGCCTTGTCAGCGTTGTAGTAGCCAACGCGAGTGTAATCGCCAGTGGCGGTGCTCGAGCTAGAGCCGGCAACCCTGGAGTTGCTGGCAGGCTTAGGGATAGCCGCAGCAGCAACAGCAGGCTTAGACGGAGCGGGGGTAGGGCTTGGGGCCGCAACAGGCGGGGCGATGGGAGCGATGGGAGCGATGGCAGGAGGGGCAGCCTCAGGGGTAGGGCCATGGTAGGTGTTGATCCAAGACTGGACGATGCCGTCAATGGTCGCGGTGACCCAGACGTCGCCACGCTTCTCCTCGTTGTGCTCATGCTCAGCATGCTTCTTGTGCAAGTGCTGGTGGCCATGGTGGCCGTGACGGCGGGCATGGCTGTGAGAAACAGCAGGAGACCGCTTGGCCTTGGGAGACAGGTTGTAGATGGCAACCTGCTTGAGGTTCATAGGACCACGAAAGACGGGGACAAGCTATGCTCATGTTAGTACGCGTGTGACAGGCTCGGAACAACTTGCATTTGAGTTCAAATGAAGAACAATGGAAACTCACTTCCTCGTTGAAAGGGGCCAGGGGACCAGAGAAGGGGACATCCTCAAAGGCGCAGGATCCATCATCGGCCATGTTGCTCACAGCCTTGTAAGTGCCTGGGTGGCCGACGTTAGAGTACAGGATCTGGTCGACAGCACCACACCACCAGTTACCGCCCTCGTTCTTAGCAACGCCGGAGCACTGTTGAAGGGCCTGGCAAACAGTGGCTGAAGCCAGCATGACGACAGTGGAAGACTTCATGTTGTTCTAGTGTGGGTTGCACAGAACTTGCTTGGAATGAAAGATAAAGTATCGATATTGCTGAGAGATCTGCGTGAGTTTCCTCAAGTATTTGACCCGCCTTGAAGAGAGTCGTGCGTGGCTGGTAGAAAGGATGCTGGAATGGTTGAACGAGGTAGAGATATGGTCCAGATTGTTCTTTGACTCGGCTTGCGAGGTGTGACTGGGAATGGCCAGAATGTTAAGATACTGTCTTGAACCCTGTTCAATGGTGTGGCGTCTCTGAATCAACGTGGTGTGGTGTGTTGGAGGGAGACTAAGTGTCGAGTGTGTGAATAATGAACGACTGGAGATGGCGAGTCTCGTGTAAGGAGTGACGATGCTATTCAGAATCCGGCAGGACGGAGTTGTGTATCAACACTTGCTCTTGGGGAGTGGGAGAACGGAAGGGGAAGTAGAAGGGAGGGTAGGGGAAGGTGCGGGAGGTATACGCTAATAAATCAACCAAAATACACTAGACGGGGGAGATAGAAAGAAGTGCATATTGGTGAGGTGAACTTCAGCCAGAGGGTACCTGGGATCCAACATGGTGGACTTTGGGCCCTGGCAGGGACGGGCAGGAACGGGCAGGAACGGGCAGGAGCCAGCAGGGGGGTCCAGTCACTCCTTCCCTGGGATTTCAAGGTGAATACAATACAGCAGACTCTTTGATGTATGGCCATTGATATTCACACGCCGCCTTGCCTCCTTCCTTCTTTGCCATCGTGTGTGTGTGGAAGTGAATTGTGTGAGTGGGCTCCTCTCTATGTGGAAAGAAGAGCGCAAAAAGCCGTTGGATAATTGGACGAATCGAGGAAATCCAACTGAGCCAGCCGACCAATCCAGTCGTAGGCTCCATGAAACACTGGTTTGGCCGTGCTAGGGGGGGGCTGTACCTTGCAGCTAGAGCTACCTACTCACAGGGGGGTCACCATTCCTTGGCCGGCCTTGGGCTCAACAGCCGCGAGTGTACCTACATCTCGACCTTCCTCTCCTCCTTCTTGCCGACCGAAAAGCCGGCTCTCTCACCTCACTACGGACACTCTACTCTATACAGCGTGCTCCCACCGTAAACGCCAAGTGCCAAGATAGCCCGTTTCGCTCTGCTTATTGAGGCCTTGGCAGAGACAACCAACCATCACCTGGCACGCAGAGCTGGGCTTTCTCGGCGTTCTGGGCTCCAATCTTTAGCCAAATTGTCATTCAAGGGCAACCACGGCGCCGACTGGCGCTCATATCCCAACACGATAACGGCACGAAGGCACGAACCTAGTCTGGCCAGAACGTGACAGAGCCAGCCCGGTCGAGATAGCAGATCAGCGGACCACGATGAAGAAACTACGCGCTTAGATTCGTCCGCCATTGAGTGGCCAGTGCTGACTGAGTAGCACTCACTGACCAGATGATGGCTTCCGCAATCCTCATGCATGATTGTGGCTGGGACTTGGTTTGGTTCCCCAAGAAATCCTCCCTGCTATTCATCACGTCCATCCCTTAGCTACACAAAGAACCTTAACTAGGTAAATCTACAGCAACGGAGTAGGTCTATATTAGCTACCTATTGTCAGTTAACTGCAATCAACAGTCGGGCACCTTGTCCTGCCAATCCGTTTTTAGGCTATCCAAGGATTACAACACCCGCAAAGAGCCCTGCCATTGCCTCTGCTTCGGGTATTTGTATTTGGGAGTGGCAGTGATAGTATCGGCATTGCTGGTCGACTGGCCCGTGATAGAATCAAGCTTACCTTACGGTCCCCCCCCCACACGGTGTATCCTTCCTGGCTCAGGTGGAGACCCCGAACAAGTCGCTCACCGTGGTTCGTCCTTAAAGCCTGGATGACATCTCGAACCCTCTCGCC